CAGTGAGGAAATCCGCAGGAGAAGTGGCAGTAGGCAGCTGAGGTGGTGGACACACCAGAAGGAAGGATAGGCAAGAGGGTGAGGGATTCCTTGTGGGGGCAAGAAAAATTAAAATCCTAGCAGGGACGTGAAGAAAAGTGAGAATTCAAGCAGGAGCAGACAAGGAAGATTGAATCTCAGGGAGGAAAATGGCTGTGGGCACAAATGACCTGAAAAAATGGCACATGGGCTTGTGAGCCCCAAAAGTAGTATACATTGTATCTACAGCTTGTCGGGATTTTATGATTTTAGGGACTTTGTGAGATTTGCTCCCTCCCTTGAGATTTGCTCAATAAATTAATTATACAAATACTTTTAAGGGTAAGGGTATCTCTTGTTTTCTGCTTCTTAGCAAAATAATAACAATTATTACAAAATAATAATAATTTACTTGCCTGTGTTGCCAACATCTGTACTAGTTAGGATCTATAATCTTTTTTTTTCCCTAGAAGTAACATTCACAATTCAGCCCAAATGATCGACCATTCTTTTTCCTCTATTTGCACTATTATAGAAGCTATCAAATTGGGCATGTAAAGCAAAGGAGTTACACAGTCAACAAAGGCTTTTCCTATTGAGCTGAATTGCTGGTACATTTGTGGCTGGGGAAACTTGAAAGAATGGATTATGCATATGATAGTTCACAAAGTAATGCTCCTCCAGGGAACAGAAATTACATGGAAGTTTGGAAGCCTGCAGCTAAGTTACAGACTAATTTCTAATGATTTCTGAGACTGAGTCAAATGAGGCACAGATCACTCATACTTTTACCAGACAATGTGGCCTTTATGGAGACCTGACTAAAGAGCCAAGGTTTGGCCCTGTAAGGCTCAGCACATGTAAACATTTGACTCGGGTTAGGGTGGGTGGGAGGAGAAGGGATAAGGAACAGGAAAGCAATGGATAGTCTCTCTCTTTTCATTGCTGGTATATAAACTCTTCAGCCTTGAAGGTGTTCCCTAATAGAGTTCACAAAAGGATGCAATGTTATATTGTAGTACACTTCCTCATTCTTTTTTAAAGTAGCTTGTTATCATTAATCAGTTGACAAGGAGGTTATATCACAGCAGGGAACTCAAGTCAGGCCAAAGGAATATTTTTCTTATGCATTCTGCTGCCAGGTATCTCTATAGCTTCCTAACGTATTGGACAACTTGGGCTAGAATATTAGATATTACCAAGGATGTGTACATGCTGCCAAAAACTGCAGCCACAGTTCTCTTCTTCCTGTCTCCTACCCCCATGGCATCCTCTAGTGGTGGTAATAATAATTCTAATGTGATGTCATCGCAATTTGTTTTTCCCCAGCCCCACAAGAGGCAGGAGGCAAACATTCCTGCTTTCTTTCAGCAGAGTTACTTGACATTAGAGCAGAATCTGGAGGAAAGAGATGCAAGACTGCTCTTTCTGTCAGCAGTCATATGTCTTCCATGGTGGATAATTCCAGCCTTAGGCTGGTTCTTCTCTTTTGCCTTAAATGAAGCAAACTAGAGGTGTGCTACCTGTGCAAAAAAGAGTATGAGCACTTGAGAACTACAACGAAACCCAGGGGTATTTATTTTTTCCTCAAAAAAGTATACTTGACTCAAGTATACCTTTAAAAATAACTCTTTCCGCATGCATCCTTGGAGCTTCCACTAAGTTCGCAGGACTTACCATATAAATATGCTTCGGATCCCAGTCTCTTCTTTAAACAAGTTAAAAACACCATAGAGCTAATCACCTGCAATCATTAAAAATATAAATAAATGGGAAATATTTTTCATAACAATCCACTAACAACAACAACAAGAAACAATAACAACAACAGTTCTTTCACTTTTAATGGACTCAGTGGTTCTGGTTGTTAGCCAAATAAATAATAGTGAATCTGTATGACAAGGGCAAACCTCTCATTTAGTTTGGCAACTTTGCTTTGCTTGTGCAGAATCAGATATTCATCACATTACAAGGGCTCTAATTGATTTGATTGGTGTGTATGTGAGAAAGACAAAGACGCAGTTTTAAATGTGACCATATCAGCATATTAATTGCGCTCATATTTTTAAAATCAATTGATGATTGAATAGGGAGGTGCATTTGTAAGTGAGGGGCCGGTTTTACTTTGCTTTGCTTTGCTTTGTTTCTGCATCACCTGCGAACAGATAAGATTTTAAAGCATGGCTCCCTTATTGGATTTTTTCTCTATGTGCCAAATCACAGACATCTGCAGCATGTCTTTTCCCCTTACTATATCTTATCCCCTAGTATCTTGTCAAACTGATGTGGTCAGGAAAAATGTGTTAGTGTCTTCTTTGTTTATTTCATTAGGGTATTTCAGGTGCTGGTATGAGAAGCAATAGCAATAGTGATAGTGGCTGGGCAAGTAATGAAAAGTGAGGGAAGGGGGTGTGACGCATTCAGACTGTCCCTAAGCATATCATGATGGCCCTTCATCTACATTTAGTTGCAGGAAAATATGGAGTTGGCAAAATTTTCTTTTCAGTTAGTCAAAAACATAGACAGAAGCATAAATTGTGAACAGTAGTGATCTGCATTACTTGGGCTGATCATGAAATTGTTTGAAAATGCATGGTTAATTTCTATCTGTGGCCTTTATTTGGATCTGCATAACTGGGAAATGTGAATCATGTCAGTTGGCTTTGGAATTTGCCAAGAAGAAACTTCTCAAGCATCCTTACTCCCTTAGCTTGAAGCTATTTGTGAGGTCTGATGCTTTTATTTCCGCTTTATACCCTTTTTAAAAAATGAATGGTGTAGGAGTATCAGTTTGACGTGTCTCTAGTAGAATGGAATAGAGATATGAAGCCTTGATGAACAAAATGGGGGAAAAAAGAACCAGACATATTAGAGGGAAATTACTTTTGGCCAAATTTCTCCATAAATTCTTGGGGGAAAGGTTGGATTCCCCTCTGCCATCCTTGTTTTCCTCCATTTTTTCTAAGTTTTCTTATTTGCCAGGGAAGAAAAAAATCCAACTGATAAAAAGGCTAAGTCTGCCACCAAAAGGGTTCACTTAAAAATAAAATTTAGTTACACATTATGCTATGCTATTATTCTTTCTTTTTCACACCAGTTGTTGGTTCAGGGAGGGAGCCATTTGTAAGATGGGGAGTGATTTTATGGGGTTGAAGGCCTTAAAGCACTTTGGGCACAGTGTAGTTAGCAACTGTCATTTTGACGGAACATACCAGTATGTTACTGTGCCCAGGGCTGTGGCCTTTGACCTTCAAAATACTAATAAAAATACTTATATCATGAAACAATATAAACAAATCTTGCCAATCGATTAGGTACAGGATCGATGCACTAACAGAGGACCTTGTGGCATTTGTTGCAAGCATCATGCCAAAGGAAGATTTTAGTAAACTGACCTTAAGTTATGTCTTTATTGCTTAATTACCCAAATGAACAAAGAATAAACTATTTTGGTTATTTCAATAGCAGTGGTAGAAATGTTTTCCTTCCCTCACCCCTTACCCTGCCCCCAACTGCAGCTACCAATGCAGCAAAGGTAAAATGTGTTTAGACCCTTTGCATCCTCTCTTTGACTTCATAGGCACCATCTCAATTTTCAACTTGAAAGAATTAATTACAGCTAGAAGAAGTCCTATCCTTGGTCCATAAGTAAGAATAGAGTCAGTACCTTGCATGCAGGAAGTTTCTAGTTCACTCTTCATCTTCTCACAAGGCAGCTTTGTGGAAGAGCAGTTATTCCAGGACAAGAGAGCAAAATATATTCATTCCTGCCAATGTAGTCAATGACTCAGTTTATACATTGCAGCTAAGTATCAGTGAAACAATCCACCACAGCCACTAAATCAAACAGAGCAAGCTGCCTCCTGCCCATTCTACACTTCTTCTTTCCTGTGTATTTGTTCAGTAATTCCTTCCAGATTTGCAAACAATACATCTATGTGTTTTGAAATCATTTTTATATATTTTAAAGCTAAATTGTATATTGTTTCTCTAAATGTTTATTATTCATATGGAGTGATTCTCTCTCTGTAAATAATAAGAACCTGAATCACCAAAACTAATCGTAGAAAAAAGAAATGGGTTCAGACTTTTCAGTTAGTTCAATATTTTTTCATACACTTTGTTTATGTTCCTGTAACTGACAAAGAATCCCTGAACTACAAAAGAATTGTGGCAGTGTATTTCACCACATAAAACAGGAAAAAAGTGAAACTGCTAAGAAGTCCAAGCAAGCAAGACATTATTTTCCATTTAATTACTACTGTTCAGTGTTACTGATGGGCACTCAGGGGGCTCAGATATAATTACTTTTGGCTAAAAATCATGGCCTTCCTTTCATCAACTGCTTTGGTACTGCATGGCTAAGCAGCTTGCCGAGATATAGGTGGGTGGAATAGATCTGAAACTGCTAGGCTGTTCTAGAAACTGCCATCAATGAGTCATAGGAATAATGACCATTTTAAATTCCTAGACTCAGTTCCAGGAAAAAAAAGTAAATTCATGCTTAATTTGTAATGAAATAGTGGGTTTTGAGCATGAATAAGGGCTTAGCTACCTGTGATAACAATGTGACAAGCCATCACATTATTACTGTTTGAAATTAAATATCCAGCATGGTTGGGCATAGGCATCAACACTGCAAGAAATTTGGATGTTAAGTCCTCCCATTTCTGCTATGATCTCAGTAAAATCCCTCACAAATGTCTCCACATTAGGAAAAAACTTCCCATTCCCAGAACCCATTGTAAGTCCTACAAGAAAGCATTGTGGATCCTACAACAAGCACTAATGAAATACTTCAGTCCATCTGAACGTCTGAGTAGCCACCTGTTAATTTGAGTTTTCCTTTGAGCTTTTGTATCAGCTAAGTTAAACTGTAAATATTCAATGACTCCTTAGGCAGATCTAACGCTTTTACAGACAAGTAAAGTTAAGGGATGCCTCATAATAAGGTATGAAAGTAACTGTCATTCCTGTTTCAGGGAAAAGCTTCACCTTGACTATCACAGTCTTCACAAATCCTCCACAAGTAGCCACGTACCACAGAGCCATCAAGATAACAGTAGATGGACCCCGAGAGCCAAGAAGTAAGTATTCAGATGACACTATAGTATTGTTCAGCTTTTCAAACATTGTACAATGAGGGGGAGAACAGATATGAGCCCATTAGTCCCATTACTGCCGTCATGTCTTGGGTTTTGGAGCCTTCCCTGTTTTGAAAACAGAATCTGAGCCACAGGAAGCATTTTCTATTCTATAGTATGATTTAGAATCTGGAATGTCTAGGAGCCTACACAAGGATAGATGCAGGTATATTGGGGAGATGGTAGTGTGACAAAGAGAACAGGACCAGGAGTCCATGCTTGCTACTCCCCACCCCATCCCACAGCCCTGCTTATACAAGTGGATGTCCTCAGTCCTAATCCTGATTACCTGGTTACCTGAAGGAGCGCTTACATCCTTATATGCCCAGCCGCCCCCTGAGATCGGCGGGAGAGGCCCTTCTCCGGGAGCCCTCCATGGAAGAAGTTAGGAGGGTGGTTACTCGGAGGAGGGCTTTCTCAGTGGTGGCGCCTAAGTTATGGAATGCGCTCCCCAGAGAGGTCCGCCTGGCGCCGTCGTTATTTGTTTTTCGGCACCAGGCGAAGACCTTTTTATTTAAGCAGTATTTTAAATGTTAATATTATTGAATTTTATTTGGCCAGGGCGGCTTGTTTTATAGTGTATGTTTTATATTATATACTTGTATTTTATTGTATATATTTTAAAATGTTATTTTAATTTTTTTGTTGTAAGCCGCCCCGAGGCTTCGGCGAATGGGGCGGCATAAAAATGTTTTAATAAATAAATAAATAAATAAAATAATCCCAAACCATAGAAATTGATGTGCAATATTGCATGCTATTCAATAAAGTCTGAGCAAAGCTTTTCATCAAGCTGATGCTGGGTAGCATCCCATGGCATCTGTGTGCTTGCAGAACTACACAGTGGTTCTAAAAAGAGACCCTAAGGAAGCAGAAACTCTCACTATGTTGTTGTAAACTCCCTAGAGAGCTTCAGCTACAGGGGAGTATAGAAATGAAATAATTAATAGAAGTCTATAATAATTTTCGGAATCAGGGAGGTCAGAACCAGGAGCTCTCAAAAGAGAGTGTCCTTGACAAGTCCTGATGTGAAAATGAGCATTTCTGGGGTTATTTTTTTAAAAATGGTTAAGCACCATTGCATAAATGTTGGGTCTTGTGAGCACAATGGCACCATTGGTGATGGGGTAGCCCATAGGAAACCATGCTAAGGCTGAAGTCCTATACACACAGGCTTGGGAATAAGCCCCACTGAACTCAATGAGCCTTAGTTCTGAGTAGACATGCACAGGATACCTTACACTGTTAATCTGCATAGGGATTTGTCCACACTTTCATTATTTAGCTGGAGAAAGTATGAGTGTGAGTGTGTGTGTGTGTGTGTGTACATTTGAGGAAACTGGTTGGTGCTGAAGCTGCAAAGTTTTAAACCAGCTGTGTAGTGTTGTGGGGGGGCAGAGCTCTTGGAGCCCTCCTTTACATAAAAGTGCCTCATAGATTAGAAAGAAATGTCAAATGCTTCCACTTGAAAAGAACAAATGGTGTAGTTAGTATATGCAACTGCTGACAAAAGATGCAGAATAAAATATGCCATGAATATTATTCGGCACTTCCTGTTCACTTTGGCTCTCAGCTATTCGTAGGCATTTTAATTTTAGAAACAAGATGGCCCTGTTCAGACTTTTTAACTCCCCTTGAAGTTGGCAAGCAGAACCGAAGCGAAAGGGGGGCAGGGAGGAGTCAAAAAGACGACAACCAGTTGCTCTCATATGCAGTTTATTGTATCTCCCACTAGTTTCCAACTTAAGAAAACAGTAATTGTTGAAGGCAGCACTTCAAGCAGACAGATGGTATGTATTCCACTGAGGCAGAGATTTTCACAGTTGTGCCTGCCAATTTTTTCATTCTTAACGATTAAGAATGAGTAAATAATAAATGATATCTCCAGGGACAAATCCAGAAAATTCATGTAAGTACAGTGATTGGAAAAAGGGAAACCCCACAAGCCACCCTATTGCTGAGCTTATGCAGTATGTTCCCTTATTATTACCCAAGGCAATAATTAGCCTTAGTGTAGAATGTTCATATTTGCATTGAAACATCCTCTTGTAAGTTGAGGTTTGTGGTTTTCTTCTTTTATTCCCCATTCACATTTGGCAGAAGTTGCAACTGTAGCTTAAGAGAAGTCAAAATGGGGAGAACAAAACTCATGGGAGAGAGATCATTGCAAGTTAGGATTATTGAGATTTAAACCAGTTCTGCACATAAAAATCTCAGTGTGTAATCTTAGAGGCACTAGCATCAATGGTGCAGTGTTGCTGACTTAACTGAGCTATGAAGATACAGATAATTTTTATTTATTGTTGGATGCTCTTTTTAAAGTTATTTCATCTTCCTAGCTTTAAATATGGCCCAGGTTCCCAACTTTTTCTAAATCTGCATACCTATTTATTTATTTATTTATTTATTTATTTATTAAAAGCCTTTCTATTCCATCCCCTACAATTTTTTCCCCAGACATCATGTGAGTTTCCATATAAGGGTGCATTTGCATTTGGAATTTATAATTGGCGCTACATTAATGCAAAAATTGTATTTCCCAAGCAAAACCACAATATCAAATTGCTTAGAAAATGCTGTCCCCACTCAACCACCACTTTAAAAGCAAACCACACAAAATGTTCAGTTTGTGGCTGCAGGCACGTATGGGGATTGACTGGTCGATGACCACAACTTCACTTGCGATGAGCTATGTTCCTGTTCTCCGCATCTCAAACATCTTTCTTTCCCCATATTATTATTGTATCTTGTTTTCTTTCCACTGCTGGCTCATGCACACATGCCTTTGGGGATGGTGCAGTCAACAGCTGGAGACCGCTATTGGCAGAGGGGAGGCTGTTCTGTCACCTCCTGCAGGTGGCACTGCATAAACATATTTCTCATGGGGAGTGACATGAACTCCTTAGGATTAGGAACCTTCTAGATGGGTCTTTTTCCCTTTTGGTACTGTCCATGGGGTTTTCCAGCCATCTCATACTAAACATACTAAAAAGCAGAGACATCACCCTGCCAACAAAAGTGCGTATAGTCAAGGCTATGGTTTTCCCATTTGCAATGTATGGCTGTGAAAGCTGGACCATAAGGAAGGCTGAGCGCAAAAGGATTGAGGCCTTTGAATTGTGGTGCTGGAGGAAACTCCTGCGAGTCCCTTGGACCGCAAGGCGATCAGACCGGTCAGTCCTAGAGGAGATCAACCCTGACTGCTCTTTAGAAGGCCAGATACTGAAGATGAAACTCAAATACTTTGGCCACCTAATGAGAAGGAAGGACTCCCTGGAGAAGAGTCTAATGCTGGGAACAATAGATGGCAAAAGAAGAAGGGGACGGCAGAGGATGAGGTGGCTAGAAGGGGTCACTGAAGCAGTTGGTGTGAGCTTAAGTGGACTCCGGGGGATGGTGGAGGACAGGAAGGCCTGGAGGAGTGTTGTCCATGGGGTCACGATGTGTCGGACACGACTTCCCGACTAACAACAACAACAACAGATGGGTCTGAGATGGGCCAATAACTCTGTTGGTGCAGCTGTCCCACTTGCAGAAGGCTATTCAGCAACCTGATTTCTTGACACACTGGGCTGTGGAGACTGTTTAACAGCCTAGGCCAGGTGACAGTTTGAATTTGTAATCCCCAATCATGGTGATTGGAGGCTGCCTTGCTGTGTGAATTCGGCCATCATCATCGCCGTCATCATCATCATCATCGCATTGCATTTTTATTCTGCTATTTCCCCTCTCATGTGGAACCCAAGATGGCTTTTACTATAGCCAGAAAAGAAAGAGTTTCTGAGTATGCTCAGAGAGGTTTGTGGGACCCAGAATACAAACTATTTCTGGGAACCCTCAGGGTGTGTCCTTCTGGATATGGGCAAGCCTTTTGGCTGAACATAGGCCCTCCAGTTGGCTTGCCCTTCTCTCCTGATGCCACGACATGGGGTCAAGGATCAGAGCAGCATTCCCATGCCCGTGCCCAGCTCTTGCAGACCCTGGCTGTTCTAAGGGTCCACCTGAACACCTGCAGATGGCAACCTTGAGATAAGCTCTCCCACCTCTGATATCGCTATGTCTTTGGCATGCATTTGATCACTTGTCCAAAGGCTAAATTGCCGCATGTGACTAAAAGGACAAATGGGAAAATAAGTTCCATAGACACCATCTCAACCTTGTCACAACATCTGGGAAATATTACTAATAAGAAGAACGCTCATTGTTTAATTTTTCAGCTTACATACGTTGGGATACACAGACCATCAACCCTTGGTTTTAAGCATTAAATACAATTGTTATATATAATTCGAACTGACATAAAGAATGGAGGCAATTGTCCTTTTGTCATAAAAAAAAAACATCATTTTGCTTCCTTGTTGACAGGGTTTAAGAATATGCTCTTTGGTTCCTGAATATTTGTTCAGAAAATAAGGGGATGGAAGAAAGTATGGCAGTGTTGTAAACTGAAATTTTAGATACTGTTTGGATTTAAACCAGGAAATCTTGTTTGCTGCTATGCATATTAGTTTTGCCATTTAGCGAAGATCTGTGTCTGAACATTGTCTCTGTGCACTGCAATACACCATAGTGCTGTCTGAATGTTTTCTAAAACTTGGAGTGAACCCCAAATTAGAAAGCCTAGTAAACCTTTTACTGAAATTGCTCCTCCCATTTTGAGTAGGTTGCTGTGGCACCACAGAATGGAAAGAGTGTCTCTCTGTTCTCAGTGCTTCTCTTGCTGGCAGCCAGTGAGTAAACAGCCTGACTCAAATGCAGAGGGGCTGAGGACGCAAGAGCAGGAGACAAAGAAACTTTGTGGTGGTAAATGGGTGAGGGTTCCAGTGGGTGGAGAGAGACAAAAGAAGGTGTAAAAGAGAATGAGGCATGCATTGCTTTGAGGGGGGATGTACTTTTCTCACCTTGTCACTTTTTCCCTTCCCAATTTGCATCTCTCTCTCATT